TGCTTTTCTGGGCCTCAATCACCTTATCAGTAGGATAAAGGAACCAGAACTGGAGGATTTTCAAGCTTCTTCTAGCTCTGACAGCCTATGATCTGCCCAGCCTGCCCTGGGGTGCGGGCTGCATGAAGGGATGGCCCAGGGCAGGGGAGGGAGGCCCTGCCAGCTTTGGCCGGCCTTGAACGGGCCCTGGTGGACCTGCCATTGTGTCCTGAAGTTGTGCTACCGTGGCTGCTGCCCAGGTGGACATTCCCGCAGGAGCCTTTTGCTAGGTTCTTCTCCCTGCCTGCCGGGGGCTCTGAGAGGCCCATGGTGCTTCTGTCCCAGAGTTCAGGCCACCCCCAAGGTTGGAGAACAGTCTCTAAGCAAAGCCTGGAGCTCAATCTTTGGCAGTAGCCACAAAACCAAGCAATCTGTGAGGTGGCTGCCACATGGCTCAGCATGGCAGAGGACCCCTCTCCTTCCTGGCACGGCTGGCTGGACCTGCAGGAGATGCAGAGAGGCCAAGGGCAGGACCACTGGGGTCCTTGCTCACTCACTGCCGTCCCGCACCAGGTAAGGACCTACGGGACAGAGTCTGCCACAGGAAACCGTAAAAATGTCCTGTTCAGCCTGGGGTGGGCAATCTCCCCCTGGCAGCTGTGGCATAGAGGGCCATGGCCTAGGTGCAAGGGCCCTTGGGTTTTAGTCTCTATTCTGCAGTGTAAGATGTACTGAAGTGACTCTGAGGAAAGCACATGAATGTTTTAGGCCTCTACTTCCTTGACTGTAAAATGGGAATAATAATTCTTATCGACTCCTATTCAGGAAAGTGCTTGGAAAGCGTCCCAGAGCCAGGGACTGCTCTGTTCAGCCCTCTCTCTGGCTCATTGCTCACTGCTTCCCTGCAGACCCCTGCTCAGCCTGCCTTCCAGCCGGGCCACCTCCTGCGTCAGAGCACTCGGGGGGGCCTGTTGTGAGGGGCCCCTGGGGAATGCAAAGGTAGGTGGGAGTCATGACAGCCTGGCGTATAGGCCTGCTCTGTGAAGCAGTGAGGGCTCACGAATGTATTACCCCATGGGTGAACCCTGGAGACCACCCTAGGGGCTGGCAGGGAGGAGAGGCAGGGCCAGGAAAGAATGATTGGCAGTGCAGGGCGCCTGGGTGACTCAGTCGTTAAGCGTCTGCCTTTAGCTCGGGTCATGGTCCCAGGGTCCTGGGATCAAGCCCCACATCGGGCTCTCTGCTCGGCAGGAAGCCTGCTTCTCCCTCTCCCACTCCCCCTGCTTGTGTTCCCTCTTTCTCTGTGTCTCTCTCTGTCAAATAAATAAATAAAATCTTAAAAAAAAAAAAAAAGTATGATTGGCAGTGCTTGGCCAGGGAAATGGTCCAGAGTCACCCACCCCCTGGTTCTGCCCTGTCCGCCTGCCCCCAGATGGGCTGAGGGGCCTCTCGCCTGCAGACAGGTTGTGGAGAGCCTGTAGTTGGTCATCTGAGTTCCACTGCGGGGTCTTCTGCTCACTGCAAAGGCCAGGAGTCGGGATGGTTCTGGTATGGGCTCAGCCCCTTGCATCTTGGGGCTCTGGGCAAGAAGTCTCCTCCTGCCCTCTCCCCCACCTACTCAAGGCATCTGCTCTGAGGGTGAGGCCAGGCCACCACGAGGGAGGCTGGAGTCTCAGCAGTTGCTCCCCAAGAATGGAGGAAAGGAAATGAGTTACTGCTCTAGTAGGTCTGACATCAGGAAGAACTTCCAGCGGGTGGGGGTGGCAGGCCATGAAAGGGGTAAAGGATGGATATGGAATCTATTCTAGTGGTCCCTGAAAAAGGGGATTCTTCCCAGCATCCTGTGATGGTTCGGGTTGAGGCTCAGAGTCAGGGGGATGAGGCAGATGGCCTCACTGTGGAGGCTGCCTTCCTCCGGTGTTGGGGCTGCCCGTTCATCCTGCTGGGGTTCATGGTTCCCCATGAACAGCTGTCATGTGGGCCTTGGGGTCAGGCCTCTTCTCTTGCCCTTGGTCTTCAGGGCCCAAATCTCTGCATGTGCCTCCCACCGGCTTGGACACCAGAGTGCTTGCTCTACTGAGACCAGGCCCTCCACGGCCTCTAGCTCTTTCTTGGATATTGCCCTGTCTACCCCCAATGCCCAGCCTCCCCTCCATGACTACACCACCACACCCCAGCTCTGGGAAGACTTGACACAGGCTGCTGAGGTTCAGAGACAGCAGCTGTACAATTTGGGGACTACTCACTCCCTTCCGGCCCCTTGGGTACTGAGCCCAAGATGAGTCCCATTTTACATTGACCCAACTCCCTCTAGACTCAGAGAAGAGGGACCCAGGGGAGTCTCCTGCCTGGACCCCAGCTCACCTCCCCAGGGACTCTCCTCCCTGCTTCCTATGGGCCGAGGCTATGGGTGGGCACGTTGGGATCTATGTGCGGATGGAACCAGCATCAGGGAGAGGGCTGAGCAAGGCTTAGGAGGCCCCTGCTCTCTCCTTCTGGCTGCTCTGAGCTTCCCACCTTGCCTGCCCCCCCCACTGTTCCTTACCCCTCCCCCCCCCGCAGCCTTCCCACCGTCTCCCTTGGGGCCTCTGCCAGCTGTGGGCCCCTTTGTTCCTGCCACGGTGATGTGGTACCAGGACCAGGCCATGGGGTCCCGCTCCGGTGGGGACAGCCTGAGCTCTTGAATGTGAATCAGAAGGTTATGATAAATCCCTACAAGCCTGCCAATCAGTTCAGGGGCTCTGGGCATGCTGTTTAGTCCGCTGCACCCCAGTTTCCTCGAGGATAGGCTGGGGGGTCATAGTTCCCGCCCAGCTTGCTGGCGAGGCCCTGTGAGAACCACAACCACTCTTCTCGAGCTGTCAGTCTCAAGGAAGTGCAGGAAGTTACTGGGGACTCTCGTGATACTGTGGGTCCAGACTCTACTTGCTCCTAGGAGACCTGGTCAGGATACGAGCCCTGTCACTCAGTCCCAAGAGGTGAGTTTGGGCGTGTTCTTAATCTCCCAGGACCTTAGTTTCAAAATCTATAAAATGGGGCTAACAAGACCAGCCATAGAGAGCTGTGATGAGGTTGAAACAGGATCAAGCTAAGTGCCTAATGGGCTGCCGCCTTTGTTACGGTGTGACACGCATTTATGCACCAGGCTCTTCCATGTTTCCTCCGCGGTTATCAGGGGAGGGAGGCAAGGTCAGTCCCATCTTACATGCATGGAGACAGACTGAAGTGTTCCCTTACTTGCCCGGGGCAGCCCATTCAGGAATGGATGCAGTCATATTTGAACACAGATGCTTCTACTTCAAGTCCAGCGTCTTTAACAGATAAACACCCACCCTCACAGCTCATGGTCATCGAGTCCTTACTGTGCATACAGCATCTATCGCTACAATGCTATGAAGCAGGGTGATTGGCTCACCTTACAGATGAGGAAGCGGAGGCATGAAGAGGTGGAGTCATTGGCCCGGAGTCACCTGCTGGTGTAGAGAGTGCGTGATGCCTGGCATGCTGCCCTCCTGTCCTGGGAGGCCCCAGGACCCACCTGCGATTCCCACCAGAAAGCTCCATAAGACCGACATTGCTGTAGAACCACTGTCCCCACTGCCAGGCTTCCCACGTTGCTCCCAGCCTGTGGGGCCCCAGGTCCCTGTTCTCAGGCCGTGTCACGAATGCGGATTGAGTGCCCCGTGTACAGCTAGAGAAGGCTATGCCGGGGGGTCTTGCTGCTGACCCGAGACAGCAGGGGCCTCAGACACACGCAGGCTTGGGGCAGCATCCTGACTGTGTGATTCTGAGCCCTGAGCCTTGGTTTCCTCATCTGGAAAATAAACTTCTAACAACACCAAACTCTCAGGGTTGGAGTGAGAACCCCATGAGACCACAGATGTGGAAGCTTATTGTAAATTCTCAAGTACCGTACATGGTGAACTACTATCATTTTATTGTATCCTATAGTGGGAATGGGCCCCCAAAGGCGGGGAAGGCTTATAGTGTGAGCATAGCAGGGAGGGAAGGCGGGCAGGCCAGCTGAGGTGCCCAGTGCCAGGGTCCCGGGCAGGTGCTAAGCCTTGGGCCACCATTGGTGGGAAGCACAGACTCTACACAGCCTGGGTTTGTGTCTGTCATTGAAGGACCTCCGTCTGGCCTTTGCCCAGCGCCCTCTTTTCTCCCTAAGATGAGCTCCCACCACCTTTCAGCCCTTTGGTCATGCCCCACGGCTGTTAAATCTCAGCGAGGTGGGCGCTGTGTGGGCTAATGCAAAGGCAAAGGGAGATGATCATTTCCTGCCCTGCCGCTATGTGCCAGACACAGGCAAGACATTTCCTATTTTATCTCATTGAATCCTCAGGGTCATTAGTCCCATTCTACAGATTAAGAAAAAGAAAAAGGAAGGTTAAGGGTCTTGCCCGAGGTCACACTGCTGGGTGTAGGACGGAGACCCAGGTCTGCCTGACTCCAAAGCCAACGCTAGCAGCCGATAGGCTGCTATTTCAACATAGCCTCCCCACCTCTCCTTGCCCCCAGCCCCAGTCCTGTTCCCTTGAAGCGTCTAGGGGCTCACCTGTCTTCGCTTTATGGAAATCTAGTCTCTAGACAATGGGGGTGACAGGGGGAATCCAAGCTCTGGTCCAGCTGGGTCAGCAGCAGCGGCAGCTGCCCTTCAGGTCCCTAAACACATACAAGTGTGTGTCTGCTCGGCTCGCTGGGGCACCTGGATCCACATGTATTTACCTCCGTTAAGTAACCCAGCAACTCCCTGGGATAAATGGCTCCTGGTCCCGGCCGGTGGTAAGCCGAGCGTGGTCAGGGACTCAAGATTCCTCCTTGAATTCATTTTGCAGCCTCCAGAACAATGAGGAAGTGACCAAATCCATTACCTCTGACTCTTAGAAAAGGGAGTTTAAAACAGTTATGACAAAACCAAACAAGAAACCCTTGCCTGGTAGGGATGATGGTGTTGACTTGGGCCAATGTTCTAACGAGGAGGACTTTTTCTTAACTGGTTGGCTTACTAATAACGTCCGATGTCAAGCACGCTGGCAGGTGAGGGATGGAAACAGGTGCTGGGGGCCAGAGCCTGTCTTCCCCACACAGCCCTGTCGACGGTGCCCCCAGCGCGGGGTCCCCAGTACAGGTGTGGCGCCCTCACCATCCCCCCTGAGGGGCCAGTCAGCTCCCAGCAGGAATGATGATGATGGTCACATGTGGCCCCTAATCCATTCCCAGCTCCCCCTGCAGCCTCTGGGGTTTCTGGAGGGGGCTGAAGAGGTGGGGATGGTATAAGGGGCCAGAGGGAGGTGACAGGGACTGGGGGCCCCGCCAGGCTTCCTGTCCGCCCTGACTGCCCTCCGGCTCTCTCTTAGATTTAGAGCACCCCAAAGGCTCACTTTCCAGGAAGGAACAGATCCAGCACTCACTGACTGCCTAGTAAGGCCGGCTGCTGCATTATCAACTGCATCCCTCCTCAGAGAGGCAGCAAAACCTCATGGTTGAGCTGGCCTCCGAGCCCGGCTTTCTGGACTCGTGCTCTGGCCCTGCCCCTCTCCAGCTCTGACAGTTTGATCACATTGCTTAGTCTCTCTGCTTCTGCTTCCCATGTGCAAAATGGGAGCAATTCTGTCCTGAGGATTAAGTGAGTAAATACACATAAAGCTCTTAGAGCATGTGAGGTCCTCTATAACCATCCATTAGAGTGCTAACTCTGGGCGAGCAAACCACTCCACCTGCAGCTGGGTCGGGTTAAGGATCTTGTCTAAGAGTGGTGGGCTCCTACGCCCGCCTACACCTTCTGATGTTGCCTCTCCAGTTGCCCTGATGCATGGGTGAGTGAACGCATGTGCGTGTGTGCGTGCGTTCGTGCGGGTGCTTGGGTGAATGAGACAAGTCTGGTGTTACTGAGAATGGTGGGCTACAAGGCAGGTCAGGGCTTTTCTTAAGGAGTGCTATTCACACTTTTCGATGACAGCTTATACTAAGAATGGGGTTTTATAAGTCTGGTGCACACCAGAGGAAAAGGCAGGGGGGTGTGGGGGGAGTAGAAGTGAAGAGGGCAGAAGGAGCGATCACTTTCCTCACCAGGGACCACATCTCCTTGAGCCACCCTCAGAGGGAGGGTCCCTAGACACATGTAGCCCAAGCAAGGGCGCCCCAAGCCCCAGGCAGATGGCTCACTGCCCTCTGCCTACCTCTACAGGTCCCTGTGATGTGGAGAGACTATAGGGAGGTGCGGGGTGCAGCCTCTTTGAACTTGTGCTCCATCCCGGGAAACTCTCTTCTCAGTTGCTTCTCTGCCAGGGGTGGGAAGGTGGTGATGGTGGTGATGGGGGGGCAGTGTTTGCTCCCCACCTAGCCGCTTGCCCCAGAACATGGATCTCCTGGCTCAGCAGGCCTGATAGCTGCGTGGGTTCTCAGGGGAGCAGCCTGAAGGATGCCCTTCACTCTGCTTCCAGAATGCTTCCCCGGCAAGGACGTCTCCAGTCCGGGCATCCCCGGTCCGGGCATCCCCTTGCAGGTCATCGTCTGCCAGGTCAGCCTCCACAATGTCTTCTTCGACAAGAGTGTACCTTGTCAGAGCAACACCAGTGGGGGCCGTACCCATCCGGGCATCTCCTGCAAGGTCAGCGCCAGCCACCAGGGCCACCGGGGAGAGCCCAGGTAAGGGGGACACTGCAGGGAAGGCAAGAGGAACAGGGAAGGAGGCGATGCGTGGGGACGAAATCTCAGAGTTGGGATTCTCTTCTCTTCCTCTCCCCCTGGGACAGTGATGTGTGAGGAGCAGGGGCAATAGTCAGGGGCGGGCAGTGGGGGGCCTGGGGATGTGGGGGCAGAAAGGAGTCATTATGTGCAAGCCCAAGACAGTGGAAAATGGGGGCCTTGGGGGGAGGGGAGAAGAAACCAGGACCAACAAAGCAGCTGTAACTTTGGAGGCTGCGCAGTGCGGGTCATAGTGCAGATTTTGAGAGCAAGGACCCCGGTTAGAGCCCTTTCTGTGGGTCTGCTGGGAGGCGAGGGTCGGCCTTGGAGCAGGGTCCTGACTGTGGGCCCATCTGTGGGGTGAGGAGGAAATGGAGAGATTCCGACCAGGCAGGCACACTTGACCTCCATCCTTCCAACCTGACGTATCTGGTTCAGTTGCTGGAAGTCAGAGCTAGCAGATGGGCCTTGGGGCTGGCTCTGCCCCTAACGAAACAGTGGGTCTGTCCATCCCAATGTTGCCCTCCTCTCGTGCTGGGCTTCAGACTGTCCCCACCGTCCCATATTTGGGGCCCCTCTCACAGTCTTGACCCCTCAGGGGCTGGTGGGGCACTCTGGTGTGGCCTTTGGAACGAGACACACTTCATTTGACTCCCTGCTCTGCCGTTTGCTAGCCAAGTAACCTCGAGCAAGTTCTTTCACTTTTGTGAACCTCAGTTTCCCCATCTATCGATAACGTCCAGCTCACACGGTTGCTGTGAGAATTCCACAAGAGAGCATTGCAGGTGTGCCTGGCTGGCCCGGAGGAGACGCTGCGCTAAGGGGGGCTGTGGCTATCAGGCGGGCTGGTGCCGAGTTCTGGAGCCGAGAGGTCCCCATGGCGCCCTCCCGGGCCAGACTGTCTCCTTCCCCTCCTCCGCTGCACCGGACCCCTCTCCAACAGCCTAACCTTCCCCGCTGCTGCCCTGCCCCTAGGTACCAGCTTGCCCAAGTTCACCTGGCAGGAGGGCCGGAAGCGGCTGCCGCTCGTTGGATGTGTACTCCTCCTCATTGGCCTCGTGGTGTCGCTCATCATTCTCCGTGAGTCTAAGGGGGGGGGGCAGGGGCGGGCTCTGGGCACGGCCCATGGCCCGGCGGAATGCGGGCTGCGGACGGGGGGCACGCCGCAGGGAGGCGGGAGTGGGGAACACACACTCCTCCGGTTACGGAGCCCCCCACAGACACTCCCGCAAAAGGCCGCGGAGCACAGCGCACGGGGGCCTCCAGGCCCCCTCCAGGCCGCGGGTTAGGAGGACCCGGGCTCGGGCCTCATCCGTTTGCTCCTTCCTGTGCATCTTGCTTGAGAGAGTTAGCCACTCTGAGCTCCGTTTCTGCATCTTCAGATGGGATTCAATTCCTTCAGTGCGTTTGACTTACTACGTGCCCTGTCAGCACTCATGAAGACTTCACTGGGTTATGAGCCATAAATGACATAATGGCACAGGGTCTGGCACAAAATCTATATACGCTAATTATTAAAAAAAAAAAACATATAAACATGGATTAGGGAAAGTCTCTTGGGCATTTTTGGACAATGGGATAAAGTGTTCCAGGGTTCAGCACGGGCCCGGCACGGCGGGGAACCTTGGCGGGGGGCAGAAGGGGAGCACAACTCTTGCCACCCTGTTCTCGGAAGAGAGTCCAGTCTCCTGAGGGACCTAGATGGCAATAATTAAGGCCAAATGTGACCGTCAGGAAGAGGTGACAGCTGTGTGGGCCGGGGTGGCAGAGACCAGCTCACGAAGGGTCAGGTGACGGCCTGGAGGATGGGGCAGCAGGTGGACAGGGCATCTGAGCGGGATGAGCAGCTGCAGGAAATGTCGGGGGCAGGGGGGCAAGGTCGGCGTGGGGAGAACGAAGGGACCCGCATAGCCAGCGAGGAAAAGAGTACTGGGGGACCTGGAGGGCTGTCTGTTTGGCTGGGCATGGCTGAGCTACATGGTAGACAGCTTTAAATGCCAGGCTGGGGGGTAAGGCTTCTGTTGAAGAGGTGGCACGGTGTGGGGAGGAGCCGGGTAGGTGACTGTGCGGAGACCCGGGCTGGCCTGGGTTGCTCCAGGAAGAGGGTGGAGCGGGAGGAGGTAGCGTGCTGGTTAAGGGCACAGCCCCCCATAGCATCCTGGCTCTGCCACTTGCCAGATGTGTGACCACACAAATTAATTAACTTCCCCAGCCTCGGTGTCCCCACCTGCCTGACAAGGTGGTGGCATCGCTGTCACAATGCCTGCCACGTGGTGTCCATGTGGACCTCCAGCCAGGACGCGCTGCCCTGCTTCTCCTGCCCCTCCCGCACAGGGCACTGCTCCGGGGACCCCCTGGCAGTCATGGGAGAGCCGTCGGGAATGACCCGTGGAGGGATGAGTTGGCGCATAAGGGTGGGACCCCGGATAGAGCTAGAGTCACAGTGTGGTTTCACCACATGTCCTTAAGGCTGCTGACCATCAGGGGGGCCCTCCAGCTGTGGCCCCGTGGGTACTGGTGTCTGGGTCTGGAAGGAGCAGGGTGACCGAGTGCGTGGTAGGGCCGGCGGGAGAAGTAGGGGGTCAGGCTGAGGATGAGGGGCAGGGTGCGGAGTTAGAACTCAGTTTCTTGGGCACCCAAGGGAAGGTGTCTCTCGCAGGAGGGATGAGATCCCTAGTTTGAGAAGAGGTTAGTGTTCCGGACGCAGGGGGTCACAGGGCTGACTTTCCCACGTGGTTTGTAAAGCTTGGACGTTTGGGAATCAGCCACCCAGATTTGCTCTTTGAGAGGAAAGACATCTAAAGGCATGAAGACAAGTAATGGGGCAGGAGCTGAGCAAAGGGGACATCCCTTGTGTAGGGGAGAGGGAGAAGGAAAATCCAGGAGCTTCTGAGACCAAAAGAACAGCCTTTGAGAGGACAGCATGGGCAGTGCTTGAGCGTGTGGATGCTGGAGACAGAAATTTCTCTGCCATGACCCTCAGAGCACAGAGAAGAAGGGAGGCCAGAGGGGCTCCGAGAGGGGGGGGGCTCTGGGATTCTGGAGGAGGGCTTTCTCTGGTCGCCACTCTGGCCCATGTAAGGCACAGGAGCTCCCAAAACTGTACCCACCTCCCCACCTCCCTCCCTCATTGTCCCTCCCTCTCTTTCTCTCTCTCTGGGTGGCTGCTCGAGTCTGCCTGGTGCTGCCCTGCTTGCAGGAGCTTTCCGGAACATTCCGGAGCATTCCTGAGCAGCCTTTCTCTCCATACAGATGGGGGAAGAGAGCCCCAGAGTCCAAGAGGGATTGCAGGTCGGTGTCTCAGAACCCCCAGGGCCTCGGGCTGCTCAGTGTCTTGTCTTCTTGGGGTTGGCAGTGACCCAGCTGTCTGTTGTTTTCCAGTCTATTTCTGGCGGGGCCACACAGGGATCAAATACAAGGAGCCAGTGGAGAGCTGCCCCCCTCATGCTGTGCGTTGTGATGGGACCGTGGACTGTAAGCTGAGGAGTGATGAGCTGGGCTGCGGTAAGGATGCTGAGCTGGGCATGGGTGCACGTGTGCCTGAGTGTGTGCGAGTGTGCACGTGTGTGTGTGCGCGCATTCTGGTGACTGCAAACTGCATATCAGCTCGAATGGGAGGCAATGCACAGAGAGTCGGGGGACCTGGGTTCTGGTCCTAGTAGACTTGGGTCTGAAACCTGGCTTTGAGTACTGTGTGACTCGGGTGAGTCACTTAGCTTCTCTGGGCTTCAGGTTCCTAATTTGTGAAATGAGTGAACTGGACAAGATCAGTGGTTCTCAGAATCTGACCACTCCTGAGTATCAGACAAAATAGAGCTACTCTGGCTGGAGGCAGGTGTGGGGTCCAGAGCCCTGTCCCCATGCCCCGTGCTTCTAGGCCCCAGCAGGCGACCTCTGACTTGGCACCCCTACGGTTTCATAAAGGTCAGTTTGTAAAGAGCTTGCCTAGATGAACACAAAGATCTCTCTGCTCTCTGACCCTCAGGGGTTTCTCGGTGCGTTGCCGATGTATAGCCCTGATGTAGGTGTCTGCGGGAGCATTTCCCCTGTGTGTTTGTGTGTGTCATTGCCCACGACCACATCACTCTCTGACGGCACACGCAGTCAGATCATAGACCTTATTCCCCATGCCACTCTCTTGTTCGGGCATGTCGCTGCCCTCTTGGGGTGAAGGCTCCTGGCAGTGCTCCCCCCTTTTCCCAGCAACGGTCCCCCGGGTCCTGTTGCATAGAGAGCTCTCTGCCCTGCCCCAGCCTCTGCCTTGGCTCTATCTTTCCTGAGCATCCCGGGCTTCTGAGCCCTGGCTGGTGATCAGTACCTCCTGGCTGCTCCCAGACATTCCCCAGGCCTCAACAAGGAGCCTTAGGACAGGAGCATTTCAGAGCCTAACTCAGTACATTTCTCAAGACCTGGGTGCTGAGAGCCCGCTCTGCCCTTTTCCTGCCCGGCAGTGAGGTTTGACTGGGACAAGTCTCTGCTTAAAGTCTACTCCGGATCCTCCCGTCAGTGGCTTCCCATCTGCAGTGACAGCTGGAATGACTCCTACTCAGAGAAGACCTGTCAGCAGCTGGGTTTTGTGAGGTAAACCTCCCCCCATGGGTCCCAGCTTCAGGGACATCCTGGGCTCTCGGCAAGGGCCCCTCAGGCTCGCTGGGGGCAACTCATTAAAAAGACTCTTGAGGGCCAGGGCTGAGGGCACTAGCTCGGGACGCACTTGAGCTATTCAAAGGGACAGTGGCCCTGGGAGCCCAAGTCTGGGGGCAAGTTGTTCCCACGGGGCCAAAGTCATGATCTGGAGATCTGCAGTAGGAGCATCAAAGTGGCCTTGTGTCCGTGGTCACAGTTAACGATCACGGTGGTCCTGTGAAGGGGGTAGGCTTTGAGCAGGTCTTGTCTTCTCCTACCAGCCGGGAGGAGCCCCCCTCTCGGAGCACCCGGCTCAGGCTCTGAGCTCCAGCGGTTATGGCTTGAGCTGGAACTCATCCAAGGGGGAAGGAGATGGGCAGGTGTGGCCAGGTAAAGTCTTAAGAATCTTTGGCTCTAAAGATTTCACACCAAAGCAGATGCTGGGGTGTGGAGCAGGGAGTGGGGTTAGGACAGCCTTCCCGCTTGAAGGAGCCCCCCTTCTTCCCTTTATCTCCAGGCCACATAGCCAACTCCATCTTCCCTCTTGGTCTGAGTTTTGGGGTTCACCAATGTGTGTGAGGTTGTGGGGAGAAGGGTTCAGGCTGTCATTGTGGACTCTCTGTCGAGGCAGCGCCTTGAAAACCAGGGCTCGGAGGCTAGGGCTTAGAACCTGTCTTCTGCCGTCACCTCAGCCTCAGAATTCCGATCTGTAAGAGGGGAGTCGGGGATCTGGCTGGAAGCAGGCGGACATCTTTAATTGCTGAGTTGTACGACCTTATGCAAATCTGAACTTCCCTTGGGCTTCAGTAGATAGTGTCATTTATTCCAAGCACATAATTGAGGTTTGATACGTGCCAGAGACCATGGGCACCCTGACAAGATCCCCCTGCCCTTCAAGAACCTCCGGTATGGTGTGGGGGAGAGAGGCTTAAACCAATAACCACAGCATAATGCTATGTGTAATGATAAGGACCTGTGCAAAGCACTATGGGTACGCAACGGAGAGGGTGCCTGACTGCACCTGGCGGAGAGCAGGGAACAGAGAAGCCCCCAGGGAGGGGAACAGCATGTGCAAAAGGCACGCTGTCATGCAAGGGTGCACCATGTTCTAGAAACGCACAGGAGTGCCACACAGATAGTGGTCCATGGATCAGCCACATCAGAATCCCCTGGGGGTGCTTGTTAAAATGCACCCCACAAATAGGAATCTCTGGATTAGGATTTAAAACCTGCTTAACAAATGCCCCGAGGTGATTCTTACGTACACTGTGGTCTGAGGTCCAGTAAGCGAGTACAAGGTTCTCAGACTTTCACGTGCAAAGCCGTAACATCGGGAATCTTTAAAATGCAGAGTCTGGCTCACCAGGTTTGGGGGGCTGCTACTGCTGGCTCATGGATTGCAGCTTGGCTGGAAAAGGGCCCGGCTAGTGTTTCCTGAACTTGCTTGTATATCAGAATCACCCGGACAGCCTGCTAAAACATCGAACCGGACAGAGTTCCTGATTCAGGAGATCTAGGGTTAAGAGGACCCAAGAATTTGCATTTCTTTTTTTTTTAAATAATTTTTTATTGTTATGTTAATCACCATACATTACATCATTAGTTTCTGATGTAGTGTTCCATGATTCATTGTTTGTGCATAACACCCAGTGCTCCACGCAGAATGTGCCCTCTTTAAGAATTTGCATTTCTAACAAATCCCCAGGGGGTGCTAATGCTGCCATGGCCTGGGCCAGTGCACAGGGCTGGTGGGGACAGTGGTGGAATATGCGGGTGGGGGCTGGGGGTACTGGGCCTTAACCGCCTCTGGCCTCTGCCAGCAAGATTCTAATGGCAGCTGGGGCACTGGGAAGGGGGGCAGCCTGTCTCAAGGGGACTCATCCTTCTTTCCCTCCCCTACAGCTCTTACCGGACGACCAAGGTGGCCCGTAGGGATTTTGCCAGCAGCTTCTCAATCTCCAAATATAACTCCACCCTCCAGGAAAGCCTCTACAGGTGTGGTGGTGTGGGCCAGGCTGCCTGCCTGCGAGCAGGGACATGGTGGGGTGCTTTGAGTCAGGGAGTCCCTCTCCTTTGGCCATTTTGGGACCCAGCCTCCAGGAGGAGTCCATCGTGAATGTCCCGAGCATCCCAGAAACAGTCCTCATTTGCCACCTGTCTTCTGACTTGAAAGTTCTTATTGAAGCATGGTGCAGAGAGAACCTCAAGGTCAGGGGTGGCCCAAACATTCATCTGGTGTTCAGGGACCATGAATAGACCTTGGGACCACCCGTCCGCCAGGGGTTTGGACTGGGAGCTGCTGCAGGGAGTGGGCTTGGGGTGGGGAGGGAGAAACATCCGCTCAGGGGAGGGGAAGCAGCTGCAGGAGGAGGGCCAGGCGCATGTGGTCAGGGACAGGGAGGCCTGGCTGGGAGGCCCTGGGCCACACCATCTGTCATCTCTGCACTGCAGCCCCGCCCTTGTCCCAATCCCACTCAGGGGGAGGTTGAGGGGTGCTCCACCAGCTAGCGGTGTTTACCTTGGGGAAGGAAAGGAGAAGCCAGGCTCCCAGAGAAAGAGGGATGGGGAGGGGAGGGAAATGAAGCGAATTAGCCGTAGCCTGGATGCCTGCTTTGTGCTAGGTGTTTTGCAAGATGCATTGCCCGTGGAGCATTGAGGAACTGGCCCAGGAGGGTCAGGCCACCTGTTCAGCTTTGGAAAGATGCTGGGACAATGAAGTCATGAGTTCAAAGGACATGGATCTACCCAATGTGTGCAATCTACCATAAGAAAACTGGGGGGTGGGGACAAGAGTGGGGATAGTTTGCACTGAGCCATCTCCATTCCTGGAGAAAGCACTAGAAGGGTCTGTCTCTCTGGGAGGGAGATCAGAATCTCTATTTTATGCAAAGGAAATGGGACAGGAAGTTGGAATGAGTCAATCAGGGAAGGCTTCCTGGAGGAGGTATCTAATGTGCCCTTTTCCCATCTTTTGTGTCCCTTCGTGCAGGTCTGAATGCCCTTCCCAGCGGTATATCTCTCTCCAGTGTTCCCGTAAGAAGATGCTCTTCTTCCTGGACTGTGGCCTCTGTGGGGTGGGAGTGAGGAAGCAGAGGCATGGGACCCCTCTGGGGGAGATGGCCAGCCCTGGGGGTCCCAGCCAGGAAGATGGTCTTAACCAGCAGGACTGCTTCGGGGCTGGGGTCCCTGTAAGGCACGGGGACAGTCTCAGGGTAGCACTTTCCCTTCTCCGGACTGCTCAGTCCAGCAACCTTGTTCATATGGGGGAAGCCATTCAAATCTCATGGATTCTGGGTGGTGGGGAGGACTGGGAGGACCTGTCTGGATCAGTGGAAAGCTCCCATATCAACAGATGCGGAACTAGATCCAGGGCCAACACTTACTGAGTACATTCGACTCTTAACTGACTCTTGATAAACAATTGCATTTGGTTCTCATGTGGCAGGGCCCTTTACTGTCCATTAACTGATAAGAGACTGAAATGTTTGCCTTGCTTAGGGACAGATTGCTGGTAGGTGAGGAGCTGGTATCAGACCTTGGGTCTGACCCCAAAGCCCACGCTGTTAACCAGCCCACAAGTGCTGTGTTCTCAGGAATGACCAGGTGGGGGTGCTCCCCTGAGCGGTGGGCACGGGGCTATGGACAGAGTGCCCCCCCTCAGACCACTGCTGGTTCTTCCCTTTTTCCCCCTTCAAAGACAAAAAGGACACATGTCTGAACAAACTCCAAGGACTGCCCTCCTTGTCCACAATTTTCGGGGGATGACTCCAGAACATGCTTGGAAATGTTCCCTTGGGGGTACATACAGGGTCCCCAGTAGCACTAAATGACCCACTGGGGAACCATATGGGCACAGACCCACCTGCACAGCATGGCAGCCCTGGGATTCGCCATCATGACCCTGATGCTTGGCACAGTGCCCCCAACTTCAGGCACTTTAGTGAGCATTTGTCAAAGTTCAGGAAAGAATGAAGGAGTGGGAGGAAAGAGGAACTTGCCAGGGATGAAACTTCCCACTGGGTGATGCCAGAAATCCAACTCACCACATGGGAGCTCTGCTTGGGCAGGAAACAGCCGGGCCACGTCAGATTAAGTGAGCAAAGCTGTGTCCACGGGCGGGTGGGTATCCTTAGGATGGGGCTGCCCGAGCCTGCCCCGCCGCACCCAGGGAGCATGGGAGCGGCTCGGAGGGCAGCAGAGGTCACGGTTCATCTGTCTGCTTCTCCCCAGACTGTGGACTGAGGGCCATGACGGGGCGGATCGTGGGAGGAGTGCTGGCCCCGGAGAGCAAGTGGCCTTGGCAAGTCAGCCTGCACTACGGCACCACTCACATTTGCGGGGGCACGCTGATTGACGCCCAGTGGGTGCTCACCGCCGCCCACTGCTTCTTTGTGTAAGTGCCTGAGGGGCGGGTGACGCCATGCCGCCCAGGCCCCGGGGAGCACCGGGGAGGGCTGATGGCAGACTGACTTGTCTCTCTGCGGAGGGCTCTGGTTGTGAGCCCAGGCCCCCAGGGTCAGGGCCATGATCTGCAGTTGCTGTTTGGTCCTGGGACTATGCATTGGGACTCCTTGTTCTGAGCACAGCCCAGAATGAGAAAACAACCTGGATGACCCGGAGGGAGAGTGAGGCAGGCAGGAGAAAAAGAGCTTGGGAGCCTGTCTCTGAAGAACGGGGTGAAATAGAGGCTTTGGGCTTGTTGCCACTTCCTGCAACACGAACTTCCAGGAGAGGAGCCTGAGGAATCAGGAATGCTGCCCCGGGAATAGGGAGTCGAGGGATGGGGAGCGCAGGGAGGGCGGTGCCGTGCGGTGCCGTCAGCCTGTCCCTTTAGCTGGGGGGCAGGAAAGGGCTCTGAGGACAAGGCCTCAGGGGCACGGGCTTCCCCAGGAGTGAGTGAGTCTTTGGCAGATGACTTTGTCCTGTCTACAGCTCCATTTCTGCTGAGGATAATACTTCTGAGCTGTGTCCTGTCCACCTTATAGGAAGCTTGGTGGTGCGCGGAGGAGACAGTGGGGGGTAAATGCTCAGAGGTCGTGCCCATCACTCCTCTTTATTGTTGTGAGGGGCTGGGTGGCCAGTTTAGGATGGGCTTTTGGAGAAAAGGGGTCGTTTTGGAGCCCTCGGCTAAGAAGGAGGGCTCCCTTCCGAGGTCATTTGGTCCATCCCCCTGCCTGTAAGCTGGTGCTGCGGCTGCCAGGGGGCTCCACCAGATGTGGAGCCGGACCATGCTCCCTTGTGGCTCTTGCAGGACCCGGGAGAAGATTCTGGAGGGCTGGAAGGTCTACGCAGGCACCAGCAACCTGCTCCAGCTGCCTGAGGCAGCCTCCATCTCCCAGATCATCATCAATGGCAACTACACGGACGAGGAGGACGACTATGACATCGCTCTCATGCGGCTCTCCAAGCCCTTGACCCTGTCTGGTGAGTCACAGCCTCGCTGGCTCCTCCAGGTAGCCCTCAGGGCCCAGCCTTGCCGTGTCCATAGACCCCTCTTGGGGTCCCAGAGCCTCAGCATGGTGGAAGCCAAAGGCTCTTGGGGATCATTTAATGGAACACCTCTACTTTACCATTGGGGAAACTGAGGCCCAGAGGCTGGAAATAAGGTTGTCCCAAATGACACATCTTACATTGCCAGTTGGTGACAGAGATAAGGCTTGGATACTGGTCTTAACCAACATAAATAGATCAAATTATGTCACTCATATTTATTGAGCACTTAACAGGGGCTGGGCACTGTGGTAGGCATTTTACCACTACGGTATCATTGACTCTTCCCAACCAGTCCTGTAGAGCAGGTACTATTATTAGCTTCATTTTACATTTGAGGAGATGGAGCCTCAGGGAGAGAAAATTACCCGAGGCCACGGAATACTAAGCGGCAGCTCCAGGATGGGATCCAGGTGGGTCTGCCTCCGGAGCAATGCTGTTCGTGCTGGGCTCTCTGCTGGCAAATTGGGATCACTGCAGTTGGAAACACAAAACGAGCACACTTTCAGAGTTCAGACAGTGAATTGCCAGGAGTTTTGGCCGCAGGGCGGAAATGTTAGGGGAGCTGTTCGAAGATCAAAGAGGATTTCATCCATTAATTCACTCACTCATGTGTGCACTTACCAAATACAGGGGGTCTGCTGCTATGCAGAGCGCTCTGCAGTTGCAGTTGCAAATAGAACAAACTGGGTGACGCGCGGTCAGTAGAGGCCAGTGACTTGAGGGTGGGGACAGCTGGGGGAGCCGAGGTGGCACAAATGGGGCTTCTCTGAAAAAGGATCGCTAAGGTGGACTGGGCTTTCCGGAAGCCTTGGAGGGCCCTCTGGTTAGTCCAGACTTTCTCGTGCTCTGAGCCTGCGAGCTCGTCTTTCCTGGCACATTAATTACAGAGGCGGTGTCGGTCCTGAGTCAGACACTAGGTGGTCATTGTGGGGTGAGGAGGAGGAAACGGCTGCTGAGCTCGGTTGGGCGGGGCTGGCCCGGGGCCACGCCCACCCAGGGCCAGCCTCCCCGCCACTCCTCCTCCGCTCTAGCCTACCCGCCTATTTTGAGGAGCCCCGGGACTTGCAAGGCGAGGGGCGGTCCTCTGCCCATGCCCTGCCCCTCATGCCCACCTAAGAGGGGGCAGTCAGTCTGCAGGACCAGAACGGGCCTTTCCAGCCTTGCCAAACTCAGACTCCATTTGGCTAACCATCCAGATCTCCCGCCACCCCAACCCCACTTAATGTTATTTGGAATTCCCAATCAAATTAAGTAATCTGTAAAACCGAATGAAAGCTATTATAACATTGCATATGCTTTTCAGACTATGGCAGTTCCTCTGCAGACTCTGATAGGCCCCCGGGCAGGAAGCACACCTCTACTCTGAGAATCACAGCTTAGATTTATATAGTCCTATGGTCAGACCATGTGCCCTGATTTTTGGTTTAGAAATCAGGGTAGATTTTCTTAAACTCCTTTGGTGGGCTGAGCATTTTCAAGTCACAGTACTATCTGAGAAAACTTGTGAAAACTCACTGATAAATTTAATTCCCCCATATGGGCGCCTGGGTGGCTCAGTTGGTTAAGCGACTGCCTTCAGCTCAGGTCATGATGCTGGAGTCCCGGGCTCGAGTCCCACATCGGGCTCCCTGCTCAGCAGGGAGTCTGCTTCTCCCTCTGACCCTCTTCCCTCTCGTGCTCTCTATCTCTCATTCTCTCTCTCAAATAAATAAATAAAAATCTTAAAAAAAAATTAATTCCCCCATAAAAACGAGTGGAGGATAGAATCATGTTACATGTTTTTTAAGACCCTACCTCTTAAAAAAGCATATTTTAAGAAATTATGTTTTGCATTTTTTGGTTAATAATTGATGCCATTCCTTCATTTCTTTTTTGTTTGTTCACTCTCTAGCAGACAAATGTGTTAGACCCTGATACTTAGAGCCCAATTTATAGGAGAAGAATCTAGCATTCATTCCCTCTCCCACACCCCCTCCCTCTGTGTTGCTCCTTCCTTTCTATGTTTGTTGAGTACTTTGTATGTGTCAGGCACTGTTCTAGGTGCAGGAAGCTGCAGTGAGCATAACAAACAATTGAGAACACTGCAAACGCTCTATCAGCTGATATTGTCATCTTGCAAAGTAGAGTTTGGTGGTCCCTGCCCTAGTGAAGACCCCAGTCCTCAGAGGGAGCTGTGACACGATATACAGCAGCACCTTCTAAATGTTTCTGAGCATGGGGGCAAGGGAGCAGTGGTTTTGTGGTCCGTGCCTCTAGGGATGTGCTCTTCCCACTTGGGGAGGTTGTCTGACCTGGAGGAAGTCCCTTAGTTCCTGATCCACATGTGGGTGCTCTCCCAAAACCAGGCTGGACACCGCTGAGATGCCATGGTGCTAATGCCTGGGACTTAGTCTGCTGTTCTCCTTCCTCTGATGGACGGGCATGGAGGAGGCTCAGCCGGGAAGGCTGCTCTTAGAAGGGAGAGACTTATGGCCACCTGGGATCGGCGTGGCACAGGGGGGTTTCCAAGGCTTATGCTTCTGCCCACATAGCACCCACTGAGATCAGAATGCTTGAGGGAACTCCAGCAGAATCCTGAAGGCCAGAGGGTCAAGATAAAGTGACTGAGTTTCTTGCCCGGTCAGTTCAAGGCCCTGGAAGATTCAGAACCACGCTGGGGGTGGGCAAGGAGGGAGGGTCCTAGGACATGGGCACCGCTGTCCCTCCACAGTACCACCCCAGCTGAGACCTCCAGCCTTGTCCCTGCTCTGATGTCTCGATGTCTTGTTGTAGCTCACATCCACCCTGCCTGCCTCCCTATGCACGGACAGACCTTCAGCCTCAATGAGACCTGCTGGATCACAGGTTTTGGCAAGACCAAGGAGACCGATGGTGAGAGGCGGAGATGCTGGGCTGTGTCTGTGTGTCTGTACAGAGTGTGTGGGGGTGATATGTCAGGGTGTATAGAGGAGGGCCTATCTAGATGAGGGTTTGGGCATAGAGATTCATGGGCCTGAATGTGGATGTGTGTGTTCACCTCACCCCCACACACGGCAGACCAGTTTATAATACATCTCGTAGCACCTGTTAGAAACTTTTGATCTCCCGAATTCCACCCTTGGCCCATTCGCCCCCATTTTACAAATGAGGAAACTGAAGACCTTTGGGGCTCTGTCACTTGCCCAGGGTCACCCTGGTAGTTTGATAGACAGAACTAAGTCTAGAGTAGTCTAGAATACTCTAGAACTTGCCAGGCCAGTGCTCTCTGCATCATACTACACCACTTGCTCACAGAGAGCCTCAGTTGTTTCTTACACTTTGGACTAACTCTTCCATGGAGAAAGTCCCCATTAAATTGAAGTAAAAATAAATAAATAAATAAATAAATAAATAAAGTGAAGTTATGCTGAAATTTTTTAAAAAGTGAAAACAAAATGAAAAAAAAATTTGTTTTTGTTTTTAGTATATGCAGCTTTAGTCAATTAAAAGAAAAAGTCCCAAATGTGCAAGTGAAAAAAATACCACCTGTTGACACAGGCTTAACTAATAATCAGCTGCTTTCACATATAGCTCTATAAGTTCAGAAAATCTATCCTATAAGAATATATAAATGTGTTTATATACAGGTCTCTACCTTAGAGCCTGTACATTTATTTCCTCAGAACCCTTAGGTACCACCTCCTGGTGAAGATACAAACACTTCATTGACACATCTTTACAAAAAAGAAAGACTATTTGACGACAAATAGACTATTTGACAATTGACAACACTATGCATCCTGTATTCAGACCATGTAGGCTCCACTTGGTTGGTTAAGATCCTTCCATCAATGCAGACCACACCAGGTACCTGGGTCCCCCTAAATGAAGACCACACCAGGTGCCTGTGTCCCCCAAACAGCTTCGCACAGAGTGCTCCAAAGTAAAATCCTGTAAACCAACCCGAGACGAATGTGTGTATATACACTTGAGTATATGTCATAGCTGTTGGTCTCCAGCCAAGACCACCTGGAGACCCCCTGTAGCTGAACACAGGCTCATTGCTCACTGCACAGAGGGGAACATATACCATGGGGGACCATGGAGAGTGCTAGAAAGGACTTATCATAGGATCTGGGGAATTTGGGGAGGGGGATGGTTCAAAAAAGTGGAGCATTTCTTTAGATTGGATGCTTTCAGGAAGCAGGGATAATTCTACGATTGGACATCCTAATAATCTCATCTAGGAGTTAAGAATAAGCTGAATCTAAAGCTATAATCGGTGAAAAGGCAGTAGACACTCCTATTGGCTGGGAGAGGGGACGGTTGACATTTTTGTGGTTTGTAACCTACCTTATTTTCATTTATGCTTAAACAAGGTTACAAAGTGGTCTTCTTTTGCGTTGCTTCATCACTATAGCTGAGTGGGCTTCACTGATGTTGGTTCTGTGGGGTGGTTTATGTTTGGCCCCAGAGCACTTGGCTGACCTCACGGTTAGCCTCTGGCCAGTTGCGCGTTTCAGGGCCTCCTTTCCCTTGCTCAGTGTGATGGATGGTGACTGGCTTGGGAGCAGCCTTGCTCTGGTCTCGGCTCCATAACTGACTGGCCGTGCGACTGTGGGCAAGTCATGCCTTTGGCCGTAAGTTCCTCCAACTGTAAATGGATTAATGACACCTCGTTAGGACACATAGTTACTGAAAACAAACGAAATGATGTATTTGATGGTGCTCTGAATGCAGAAGAGATTGTGCAACATGAAGGCAGCCCAATAGGCTTGTGAGTTTGTCTGTGTACACGTCTGTCTCTATGTTACGTGTAGGGGGCTGTGTGCGGTGCGAGGGTGTGTGTGCCGCTATGTTCTGGGTGGCCAGCCACGGGAATGGTATCCTCCACTCCCAGGAAGCTGTGAGTCTGTGTCATGGGGTGAGCAGCTAGAAGGCTGTGAAGGTATCCAGATCTGGTCTCACTCCTTTACCATCTTCTCTTTCCTCCATTCGACTTCACTGAAGAGAAGACATCCCCCTTCCTCCGGGAGGTACAGGTCAACCTCATCGACTTTAAGAAATGCAATGACTTCTTGGTCTACGACAGTTACCTTACCCCAAGGATGATGTGTGCCGGGGACCTTCGGGGAGGCAGAGACTCCTGCCAGGTGAGGCTGCTTCTGGGTGGGGCTCAGGTCCTGGGAGCCAGGGGCTGTGGGGGAAGGCTGGGGTGGTGGGTTTTGAGTGAGAAGCAGGTGCCGGCCATCTCCTGCTCAAGGACCACCTCTCCCACCGTGCTGAGATGTGTGCTCCCCCCACAGGGAGACAGCGGGGGGCCCCTGGTCTGTGAGCAGAACAGCCGCTGGTACCTGGCAGGAGTCACCAGCTGGGGCACGGGCTGTGGCCAGAGAAACAAGCCCGGTGTGTACACCAAAGTGACCGAAGTCCTCCCCTGGATTTACAGCAAGATGGAGGTGAGAGCCTGCACGGGCCACTGCACGGGGCAGACTGGGTACTCCCAAGGTGGGGTGCCTGGTAGAGAGCCCAGGCTTTCCCTGGGGTCTTAGCAGAGGTCCCCTCACCCCTCATGTTTGGGGGTGTTCAGAAAGTGTGGAAGACCAGGACAGGACAGGAATCGAATGTTGGGCCAACCCCAGCCTGTGTTTCTTGCCTTCTGTTTCCTTCCTCTGAAGGGTTGTAAAGGGGTGGCCCCAGGCTGGGCCCCAGTAGCATGTCCTCTCCCCAGGGACGGCCAAGGTATGAGTTCACACAGCCCATTGGAGCGGCGTGTGCAGGAGGCCTCTCTCCTCGGCAGGAAGTTAGTCTCATGGAGATCTGGGGCGCGGGGCTTCACTCCCACGTCTGCCGACCCAGCGCGGCCCAACCTTCCCTGCACCTGCCATCTTAGATGTAAAGCAGGAACGCTATGCTCCCCTTCCCCCCTCTGCCCGAGTGAGGGCAGAGCAGTGCAGAGAGCTCAGGTGCTTGCTCCAGAAATCCAGCCTAGTGGTCTCTCTGCTTCCATGGCTCCTCCTTACTGAGTGCCCAGTGACAGCTGGACTGAATTTCAGGCTCTGAACCCCCACCTTCGACATCTGTATTCCTGACCCAGCCTCACCCTGTTCTCCCTGTTCTCGTCCTCAGAAGGAGGTGCGCTTCCGGAAATCCTAAGCAGCTGGCCTGTCCTACCTCATGGCACTGGCCAAAGTGTCTGGGCCATCCGCAGTGTCACCTGGGCTAAAGGCCACCAGGCACCTCTGTTACTCCCACCTCTGCTGTCTGTTGCCTCTGTGAATGTGCATGCGTGTGTGCATGCGTGTGTGTGTGTGCGTGCACCTGTGGTATGCGCGTGTGTGTGTGCCCGTGTGCATGCTTGGTATGCACGTGTGTGTGTGTCTGTGTGTGTGTTGTTGCTCTCCCAAGGTCTTCAGAAACCAGGAGAGTGGTCAGCTCTTCCCAAACCCCAGGCTGGAAAGCACCTGGAGTTAACAGTGTGGGGGCACTGTGGAGGTCCCCGCAGGGGTGTCCATGACGGATGGAGGAAGTGAAGCCCAAACAGGGCCCAGAGAAGGGCCTGGAAGTTCACATCAGGAATCCTTGCTCTTCTGACTCTGACTCGGAGACTAGCCCAGATTGCGTGGCCACCAGCAGCCCAGGTAACACCCAGGTGGTGTAGGGCCTGGGCTGGCCCTAGCAGGAAGATGCTCCCCTTGGCATTACGAGCATCCTGCCCCTTCTCAGACCTTGGGCTAGTGCCCGGATGTGGAGGGCTGGCTGCACTGCAGTTGTCCAGGTTCACAGCTGTTCTTGTTCGGTCACAGGCAGTCGGGGCAGATTTTTATTTTATTTTTATATTCAAGAAATGGAAGTAGATGCCTTTTTCAAGATTCTCCAAAAATTCCAGGAGCCTGAAGCCCTAGCATCCATTACCCCCAAAACTCTAAGGGACTTATGGGAGTTGTGCTATTCCAGAGTGCTGCTGAATGTTCCTGACCTCAAGGGACCGGATGAAGGAGCCCCTTTGGGGTCCTCAGGGTAGGGAGTCCTCACGAGGGCTGGCGAGCAAATCCATCACAGAGAGCCACAAGTGTTGCTGCATCCGAAGGCCACAACCAGGGCGTGAAGAAATGGCTGTTGTTCTCCGTGGGCCTCGGAGCCTGAGAGAGTCCAGGTGGATAGGCCCCCCTTGTACCCAGCGCTGTCCTGGGCCTTGCAGTTTCCTCTCAGCTTCTCCGCCTTTCAAGTTCTCAGTTGTTTCAGAAACCTGGTACTGACATGAACACTGCCTTGGAGAGAGTGCTGACACCATCCCCAGGCCCTCCGAACAGCCATGTTGAAGGATCTGAGTTGCCCTGCTCCTGCGAGCCATCAGTGTGCCTGGCCTCCATGCCAGCTAGAGGCCTGGGCCTTCCCCAGCCTCTCCTCTGGGCCAGCTCTTCCTTGCCCAGTCCCATTCCCCTCACTTCCCTTGGGCCTGCCTCATGGTGCTATGACTCTCAGAGGCAGGGTCCATGCGGGTCAGTCCAGCCCAGCTCAGGCAGGCAGCATGGCCGGGCACGGTGCGAGGGGGCTGCTTGCATGTTATCAGGGCTGGGGGAGGGGGAGGGCAACGTTCATGTCTACGGCAGCCCCGGCAATGGTCTTCAGCAATAAAAGTTGTGTGACCTGAAAAATTTGTGATTGGATGTTCTACTGATACCCTGCCCACCCAGGTGCCCAGACAGCCTCGGTTTGGGTTCTTAGTTTTGGTTCCTCAGCTGTGGGTTCTGTGTATTTATTTAGCCAGGCAGCCACCCACCCACCATATCAGTGCCGACCCTGTACCAGGTACTCATGACAGGCCCGGGGGTGCAAAGGCTATGACAGTGTTCTCAGGAACTCATGATTGTGACCCAGTGTGATGGAAGCTATGATGAGTATGGACACCATACTTGGAAGCTACCAGTCATGCCTGGAGAGGTCAGGGAGGGCTTCACAGAGGAGGTGAGGCTTGAAAGGAGTCTTAAGAAGTAAGTAAAGCTTCACCAAAAAACCCAGATGGGGGTGAGTGAAGAACAATCCAGCACTTATGCTTTCTCCTTTTCCATTTTTCCTCTTTCTCTACCTCTGCCCTTGTCGAGCTCAGCAAAATGCATGGTTATAAGAAAGCCCCAAAGCTTATTCAAGTAGTTCCACCAGAATTGGATAGGTGGTCCCATTGGCTTCTGAAAGATCTATCCCTTCTTGCTCTGCACTTGCTTTTCTTGCATTGACTATATTGACCTCAGTCATTATGATCCCGTGGGTGCATGGCCAGTGCCCCACTGTGCACACCCCTGCCTCCGGCCACGAACAGAATTCTCCAAGCCTGCGTCCATGGGCCTGGCCTTCGGACACCTCAGATTTGTTTTCTTTACTCTCTCATGTCAGTGTGAGGGGGAGAAGTCCCTCCTTCAGTTTTTTTCTGGCTCCATCCCAACAAAAAGGTATAGGGGAGGGGCAGGTGCCAGGCTTAGCATACTAGGAAGTAACGCAGCAACCCTAATAATAGCCCACAGTTTCCTACAACCTCAGTGGCTTCATCCAAAGCTTATTTCTCCTCCATCTAAACATCCAGTGAGGAGGCTTCCTGCCACATTATTTTTCAGACCCTTCTTCTCTCTCTCTGGCTTCCTAGGGCAGAAGTGACTTGCAGGGGTGCAGGGGTGCATGGGAGAGATAAGCTAGAGAAAAAGCAGTATCTCAATAGGAAAAGAAAAGCATTTTCCTTAGACACCGGACATTTATAGAGGCCGTAATAATCATGGAACAGGGTGATGGGACTTCCCGAATTGGTCCAGAATTTCCAGAAAGGTGTGCGTGTCTGTATTGGTGGGGGATGGTGGGGGGTTGCTGGTGACACCGTCCTCTGGTCCCTGGTTCCCAGGCATCTCCAGGTACCTCTCAGACTCTCTGGCTTTGTCAACTCCACTGACTGCTGAATTTACCCCTGGGGAAGGAGGGGAGGGCCACGTGAGTGTGCCGGGTGTGGGGCAGAGCCAGTTACAGCCTGGCTGCCCATCCAGCTGCTTCTGGAGTTTGGATAGATTCCCAAGGGCTATTGTTTCCCATAATTGCTTAGCCAATGTCCTGATGCACTTGGGGGGACATTGGGAGATGCACGTGGAGAGCTCCCTGTAACCATAATGGTGAGGATAATGATGATAGGAGTTAGCATTCGCTGAATGTGTGCTATGTACCAGATGTTGTGCTAACCACCTGATGTGTCTTATCTCCTGAAAGCACGGAGTAGGCACTATTGTCCCTGTTTTATGGATGAGGACGCAAAGGCCAAAGGAGGCGACCTAAGCTTCCCCGAAGACACGACTGTTAAAGTGGTAGAGCTGGACTTTGAATCCAGGCTGTCCAACTTTAAAAGCTGCTTTCCCAAGTCAGGTAGGTTTCTCCTAGCTGTGACCTCATAGGATCTGCCGCTTGGCTCTGTGTATCTTTCCATTCTCCACCAGGCCTCTGCCGTGGGAGGGGCAGGGCAGGCCAACTCCACAGAGAAGGCTGGGCACACCCCTCAGAGTGTCACATGACCGGAGGCTTAGCTCCTGCAGTTTCCAGAACCTGAGACAAATGCATTATGAATGGGAGGAGGCCCCCTGACTCCTCTCGCACTCACGTCCCAAGTGGATTCTTTTTGCGAGGCCCTCCTCTGCCATAGTAAGCTGTCACCCCAAGATACCTCTGTGTCTCCTCAATGTGGGTGGGTGGCTCTGAGAGGCTCATGCCACTCATTCTCTACCTCCTCTGCACTGGCCCAGGCTTCCTGTGCCTTGGAATTCTGCTGCCCAGCCCAGACAGCAAGCTCACACTGGTCTCACGATGAGTCCATGCTCTGGAGATAAGCAGCCCGGATTGTCCAGGTGGAGATCTTCTCAGATGAGTCCTCAGAGAAGAGGAGGGCCCGGCCTGGGCTCTGGTCCCACACAGCTCCGCTCCTGCCCGCCAGACGCGGGACATGGACATAGCAGGATACCTCCTCGGCCCAAGGCCCGAGTCCCAGAATAAGTTCCTCACTTTTCATACAAGGAGGGAGCTGGGAATTTTTGAATTCCCGTAATTACACTATGTTTTAGTGGAGAGAGCAGTGAAGTTGGACTCGAGGTACCCGGAGGCACAAATTCGAGCTCCACTTACTTAGCTATGTGATCTTGGGCAAGCCAGCCTCTCTGTCCCCTCACGCAGTATAGGTGTATTTCTCCCACGTGCTGTGGCAGGATTAAATGGGAGGCTATGGGTAAACCTGCAGCACAAGGTGACTGGCATATTGAACCCTCTAAACAAATGTTGAATTTGCAGCAGAAGGGCCAGATCCTTCACCTCCCTCTCCACCCCTTCAGCAAACAAATGTGACAGGAGTGGGGAATTTGAATACATCTTCAAAGGGTTCAAGTTTCTTCGGAGATTTGCCATGTCTCTGTATAGACCTGCCTCTTAGTTTTATAGCAATGGGGTTGATCTTCCATGAAAGTGACACCACCACCC